TTGCGGCCCTCTGCGGAGCAGGCCGGCACGGGCGGGCAGCGCGGCTCTGAGGGCGAGGGGCTTGCGGGTCAGGCAGCACCTTCGCAAGGCCTTGGTGCCGGGGCCAGCACAGAGCCACTTCCACCGCCTTTCCCAGCCCTGCTCTAGTTCTGGTTTAGACCTTCCCAGTTATTCCTGCCTCACTTTTTCCCCTTGTCCTTCTCCGTTGCCTCATCCATGTTCTTTCATGGAGGGGATGCTGACACGCTGCCTTCATCCTCAGTCTGACTCGGAGCTCTTGGCACTGCGCGCCCCATACCTCGCTGCAGCGGGAGAGGCATTTTAAAGGCTATGGTTAACAGGGCATCCTGTCCGCCCCGTCCAGGCCGTGTGTCCCCTTGTCCCGTCTCCCTCCTGAGCAGCCTCGCACTTCCCTGGATCAGCGCATCCCATTGCAGTGGGGGCTGAGACAACCACACGCAGCCAAGTGCTGCAGACACCGTCCCCACTTTGAAATTCCTCTCTCCCTGCTTGCCGCCGTCATGGATGTGGCAACTGGGTGCCTTTGGAGCGCCACCTCCCAGGAAGGGGAGAACAAAGAGTCTGTGTTTCTCAGTAGAGCAGGGGACAGCGTGGAGACAGCACCATTTTTCTTGGAGCACCTCACTCCAGGATCAAGGGCACATGGAAATGCAGATCATTCTCTGATCTGTGCCAGCGTAGAGATCAGGAAGCCTCCACTGAGAGCTGCCCATCTGGGCAGGTGGTGGGAGATGAGGGAGACAGGACTGTTGAGACGTTGAGGAGATTCCTGAAGGCAGGAATACTGCTCTTTCCACTGCCACCCCAGCTCACTGCAGGCTCTTGCCTAGCATAGGAGCACACACCTTCCTCCACACATGAAGGCCAAGTCCTGCAAGCTGCTGTAACTGCAGAGGGAGCTGCATTGTGTACTGAAAGTTTCACCATTTTCTCATTCCCGGAAAGAAATAAAAAAATCCAGGCAGTGCTGAAGCTCTCGGTGGCATTTCGAACCTCCCCTCCCACAGAAACAGCAAGCACTGCAAGGAAGGTGCTCTTGTGCTCAGCGAGGAAGGACGCACTTCACGGCTGAGCAGCCCCTTGGCTCCAACAGCCAGGTCCAACGCTTTGCAGACTGAGCTGTGTTCAGGGGCCTGGGAAGGTGAAAGACACCTCCTCCGAGTACCACATCCTGTGAAGACGTGGCCATGACCTGGGCTCTGTTCCCTTCATGGGCAGCGCTGTTCCTGGGTGGCTTCCTGCCATCCTTGGGCATGAGGCCAGCAGCCCAATGCCATGTGCACATCCAAGCAGTTTTTGAACTGTTCCTCTCTCTCTTCTCTTTCCACTGCTCGTACCTTGCAAGGGAAACTTCTCCTCCCAGCATCTACAACAGGCCTCTCCTTCTGCCTCCACCTGTAGGGTCACATCTGTCCCTGTGATGGTCATGAGAAACACAGACTTGTGGCCAGGGGAAACCAGGGACACAGGGAGGCACCAGGGATTTAACTGGGGTAAAGGAATGGATCCATGGATAGATGCATGGATAAGATCTTAATCCTTTCGGAATTTCCCTTTTTACAGTGCCATGTCCTGGTCCTAAAAGGAGGTAATGCTCATCCAAAGCAGTACTTCTAAGGACAGTTTTAGGATATAAGCATCCCAGTCCCATGAGTGGGTTGAGCCACATCTAGGTGACTTTGGCAGGGGGAACAGCCCAGGAGTAAGAGCAGAAAAAAAGCTGGTGCAGGGCTGGCATGTGGGAAGTGTTAAGGCAGGCACTGAATCAAGTGAAGAAAATGAACTATATGCATCAGGAAGCACCAATCCCCAGGGAATGGACTACCGTGTGAGACACAAAGAAGGAACAAAAGAGATTATTAAGGTTGTCTTCTAACCTGCCCAGTAAAGAATGGCAACACTATCCTAAAATGCTAAGAGAGGCCACCAGCCTGGGAGACAGTAATTGGGAAAATACCACAGCAAAGCCATCCTAAATGGCTGTGTCTTGAGACCCTAGTTAGAGAAGCACAAGAGGTGCTTGTGCCAAAATTTAGGAAAATATTCTGGGAAGCATCACTACATGCTGTGCCAGTCTCTATACACTTCCATAGTCACTGGATGTTGCTAGTGGTTGGATCCCAGGCTAGCTGGACCCTTAGTCTGATCTGGCATAGCTGCTCTCAGGCATGAGGGACTCCTGATTTAGCGCTCAGCAACAGCCAGGATCTTGCTCACAGCGCTGCAGAAGAGCCAGTCTGTCAGAGTATGCAGAATGTAGGAAATTCAGCACTTCAAGCAATAAAGCAGGAGAAGGGGTAAAAAAAAACCTATAGGCTTCCTTCCCCTTGCAAGAATGAGCTATGTAAAGAAACCTGCCAGAAGGAGTGAAAATCAAATACGGAGACAAAATATTTGCAGATGACGGGGAGATACCATCTAGCCAGAATGGATGTATGCCACCTAACAAAAGAGGCTCGATGAAATACCCTGTTCAGTCCCCAGAAGGATCATTTAGCAGCAAAGAAAGCTATCGAAAATACAAATGATTAAAGTAACTGACATTTAATTTAAAACAAGAAAATGGCAGGCTGCACAAAGCCCAGCAAGTTAAAAACTGCACTTATATAGATGAAAAGCATTTTGGTTGTAATTTCCTTACTGCATAAAAATGTTGGCCAAAATTTAGAGGAGGATAATTTATAGGCAGAGCTCCAAAGGGCTCCAGGAACCACTGGACTGGCATTAAGATGGGATGGGATAACAGAAAAGATTTGCTTGTAAATTTTCTAGTTAAAAGAGAGGGGACAAAGGGCCGGGAGAAGTGGACAAGATTTGTACCAGATCTGTGCTCTTCATGCATAAAGGAGAACAGATGGTGCTCATGATACAACGTGTTTCAGAGTGGTCAAATCTAATGCAGACTGTGAAGAACCGCAAAACTTTGCCTGTTATTTTCCTCAACTTTTATAGAGTTTTTTTTTTTTGACGCATTCCCATCAGCACAACTAATTGTCAAAATGGTTTTAGTAGATAAATCACTGAATCTGATCACTGTATTTGATTCAAGTGCAAGTAAGCAACAAAGTACCACACATAAGCCTGATAAAGGCATATTAAAACAGATTCAGCGAAGGAGAACTCTTTATATTTTTTAAAAAAATGGAGAGCTGCTTTGATAACAGATGAATTGCTACTTGTATTGACACAGGGAGCAGCAATAGCTGGAACTGAAAAGGTTGTGCTGCCTGATGGGGAAATTAAGCCCATTTAGCACATGCCTGCTGCCACCTACAATGCAAAGAAAAAAAAAAAAGTCACATAACAGCAGTTAATTCTGCCACTAGAAATTTTACAGCCAGGAACCCACCTAACCAGCTCTGCTGCTCCTGACCATGTGCTTCAGATAGAGACAGAAATATTTCTGCAGTGGACTGCAGAAACCAATCATGTCCTCCTGATCTCACTTGGTGGAGGTTGGCCGTTTATAGGGCAATTTCACGTGCTTACTGAGGGTTACAGACGTGTTTTGGTGTTTGGAAGGGCTGGGTGAAGGCGACCAGCCCAAGGCGGGACGTGGTCTGCGGCCCGTGGTCCGTAGGGAATACTGTCTCAGCAGGAGAAACACCTTTCTAGCCCCAAGATTTTGTGGAAGGTCACGTCTTTGGAGCGCAGGCGCCTCATGGGCTCTTGAACAGCAATTCCCTTACACGGCCTCCTCCAGGACCAGGGAGCAGCAGGTCCTCCGCACCGGTGTCCCCGCTGTGCGGAGGGCCCTCAGGCACCGCGACAGCATCTCCCCGGGCAAAACTCGCCTTCATCTCCCCACAACAGGGAGGCGCGAGCCCGCCTGCTTCCTTTTCACCTCTTTTTTTTTTCTCAAATAGGAAATAACTAAGTGCCAAAGCAGGGGG